AAAAACTTTTCTTTTTTTTTTATCAAATTTTTTTGTTTTTAGAAAATGATGAAAAAATCGACTCGTTGTTGTTTGTTGTTGTTATTAAGTGTAATTGTGACAAAATTAAAAAGAAAAAGAGAAAGAGTGAGAGAGATAGAGAGAGGAAGGGAGAAAATAGTTAAGAAGTGAAAATGACGGTTTTTTTATTACCGATAGGTAAGAGGGGATTGGTAGGCAGGCGGTGGTTGTCGGTGAGAGAATGGGAAAAGTGGAAGAAGATGAAGAGGAAAAGGATGAAAATGTTGGGGGGGGGGGTGAGAGAAGAAAAAAAGGAAAGAAATTAAAAGGAATTCAATGGGAAAATTTTATCAAATTTCATTTTTTTTTTTTTTTCGAAATGGAAAACTTTAAATTTGTTTTTTTTCCCTTTCCCTTAAGAAACCGCTTCCGTTTTCTTTCTCTCTCTCTCTTTCTTTCTCTCCTTTTTTTCCTTTTCTAATCGTTTTTATATTATTTTTTGAAAAACGTAATCGTCGTTATTTAATTCGTACTCTTCGAAAAAAAAACCGGAAACGTTATTTGTTTTTTTTTTTTTTGTAAATTTTCCTACCCGAAATACCCAAAGCTCACACATGATTGACAATTATAATACTACTAAACGACCTATAATAATAATAATAATACTAACATTTTTTTTTTTAATATCAATAAAAGTTCCAAACTCATTTTCCTCGGACAGATTTGGACAAACCATCAGTCATTTTCCTGTCACATAAAAACTAAAAATAAGAAAATAAATTTATTATAAAAAAAACCCGTCGTCTCATAATCTAAACATATAACAATAATGTCATCTAACAATAAAAAATTTTGTATTTTTCTATCGCCGAAGCAGCTAGTAATTCACTTAAACCTCGGGGTCGTCGTGGCTTTAGACAAAATTTCGTTGGAGAAAACTAAAAAAAAAAAAAAATTACTTTTAATAATAATAATAATGATGATGATGATGATGATGATGATGATAATAATAATGATTTATTTTTTTTTATCCGGCGTTAAAAGATTTCAAATTTAAATTTGATTTGATTGGCGTTTTGGGAAATGTTTGGAGGAGGGAAAATGGGAAAATTTTTTTTTTTTATATTTAATTTAATGAAACCTTTGGGACGTTCGAACGAACGAACGAACGAACGGATTTCGATTTGATGAAAATATGTGTGTATAATGTGTAATACACAGACGCACACACACACCCGTATAAACGGGAAGTATTTTATTATTATTATTAATAATAATTTGTAAAAAAAGGCTTTTCTCTCTAATTTAAAAACGTATCAGGCTTTTCCCCCTTTCCTCCGATCCGTTCAGCGAACGTGAAAATATTTATTCGATGAAAATGTATAAAAACCAAAAATATTTTTAAACCTTTTTATGGATGATGTAAGGAACGGCCAACTATAAAAGTTTATTCCTTTTTGGGGAGCGATTGTATACTCTTTTAATGCACATTTGTTTAAATTTATGAACGCGTTGGGATACCTCGAACGAATGGATGGCAGTTTTAGGTGGCGGTGGCGGTGGCGTCGGCGGCGGCGGTAACGACAGAACGGGGATGACATTACGTTAAGTGCTCAATAATGGTTATGTTTAAGGTCGGTTACGTGTAATTGTCTTTAAATTCTTGATTGTGCGACTTTTTTTTTTTGAGCTTTTAAACTAACGAATTGTTTTTTTGATAAGATAAGAGGGCGTGTAAAAGTGAAATTAAAAAAAAGAGAGAAAGAGAGAGAGAAAGAGAAAAAAAAATTTGAAAGCTAAAAATGCGAATTTTTTTTTTTTTACAGATTTTTAAAGATGAAAAAATAAATTGAAGACGTATCGGAAAATAAAAAACCGAGAGAGGGAAACATAGAGATAAGAGAAAGAGAGAATGGAAAAAAGTGTAATAAAGAGAAAAGACAAAAGCGACAAACAGAAAGAAAAAAATGGAGTAACAGTGAGAGAGAGAGAGAGAGAGAAAAAGAAGGAAAAAGACCAACAGAGAGAAAGAAAACGAAAAAATAAAAAATTAATTTCCTTATTTATAAGAAATAAAATGGCCGTCGGTAAGTAATATTTATATTTATTTATAATTTATTTTATATAAATTTTTAAACTTGATTTTAATTTTGTTTTTAAAAAAATTTTAACTGAAAGGTTTTAACGAAAAGGTTACCGACGAAAACCTTTTTAACAAACAAAAAAAGAAAAAGAAAAACAATTGAAAAGGTGTAAAACCACAAACATGTCGCACCCGCATTTAATGTCAATAACTTTACATTTTAAACATTATTAACAAAAAGAAATTGTTTCGAAACTTTTTTTTTTTATCAAACGATTAAAACAAAAACATTTTTGAAACAATTTCTCTCTCCCCCCTCCCTCCCTCTCTCTCTCTCTCTCTTTAAAAAAATTTTCTAAAACATTTTAAATCGAATAAATAAAATTAAAATTTTCATTATCTGAACAAAAAAACAAAAAAAGAAAAACAAAACAAAATTCAATATGGCGACTTAAGCAATTAATAAATAATTAATTAATTAATTAATTAAATTTTATTTATTTATTTTCTAGAAAATTTACTAAAAAAAAAAATTTTTATAAAAAGAAAAAAAAAGTTTTCACTCAAAGGTTTCCTTTTATTTTTTATTTTTTAAAACCGGAAATGGTACATAAATATTTTAATTAAATTTTTATTCATAAGCTAAATATTATTTTTCTTTTTTTAAATTTTCTTTGACTTTAAACAAAATTTATTTTCTTTCTTTCTTTTTTTTTTTTTTTTTAAAAAAAACCGTTTTCCTTTTATAAAATAAAACAAACTTTTATATTTGTTGTTAAGAAATTTCCTTTTTTTCTTTTTTTCGAAATCCCGATCAAAAATTTTCCTTTTTTTCGGGGAAAATTCAAATATTTAATTTAGTGCCAATTAATAGAAAACATTTTCTTTTTTTTTCGGAGAGAATAAAAAGGGAAAAAGAGGAAAAAGGGGTGGCGGGATAAAGGAAAAAGAAAATGGAGGGAAAAACCTTTTTTCTTAAATTTTATTAATTAATTTAACTTGTGTCAATATTATTAAATAAATAAATAAATAAATAAAATTTTCTACGTC